GGATGGTAAGTTTTAGGTCCGCCTGGGCCATGTAGTGAGAACCCCATATCAAGACATATGACAAAATAATAAAGATTTCAAAATGTTCAAACATGCAATGAAGGCAAACGCAGTAAGTTGGGAAAATGAAATGAAATGTAAATAGCACAAGGCCAGCCATGGAGAGGCCAGAGCTGACTGTGCCAAGGCTTCAGAAATAATGCCAACAGGGGCCTGAGGGGATAGCTCAGTCCACAAACTACCTGCTGCACAGTCACAAGGACCTGAGTTCAATTCCCAGCACCCACATGAAAAGCTGGACGTAGTGGGATGTGTGTAATCCCAGCCCTGGCGTGGCAAAGACTAGGCTGGCCAGTGAGTACCAGGTCCCAGTGAGAGGCCCTGAGCCAAAAAACCAGGTGGACAACTCTTGAGGAACAGCCACCATGTTGACCACCGGCCTCCACATGCACTCCCACACATGTGCGCCTGCACACACATATGCAAAACACTAATGGCCTGAAAACATTTTGAAGTGATAAGAGTATTCTACAGGGTCTAGTCAGTTCAGGGATCTCTGGCTGATCAAGGACAAGGGCGTGGTCACACAGTGACAGGTGCACAGAGGCTGTGGGGAGCTACCCTCAGCAGGTGCCAAGGTGCATGTAGTCACTGCAAAGAGAAAAAATACCTTTCTGTTAAAATGTTAGTGCTTTTTAATTTTTTATTTAAAATTTATTATTAGGGGGCTAGAAGATGGCTCAGTGGTTAAGAACACTGGTTGTTCTTGCAGAAGACCCGGGTTCGAATCCCAGAACCCACATGGCAGCTAACAACTGTCCGTAACTCCAGTCCCAGGGGATCCGACAGCCTCTTCTGACCTCCGTGGGCACTGCACGACATAGGTGCACTTACCTACGTGCAGGCAATACATGCATACACATAAAATAAATTTTTTTTAAATTGATACTGCCCCATAGTGGGTGTTGTGACACATTCAGGACCGCAGGCACCCTTGGAGAAGAGTCAGCAAGCACAGGGGCTGCCTCCTGACAGGAAGTTAGGGGTAGGGAGAGAGCAGTGCAAACCAGAGCAGAAAGGTCCCAGGCATCATCCCTCCAGAGGTCCTGCCCCTACAGTGACATTAAAGGAGAGGGAAGCACATGGGGCAGGTACCTGAGAGGCCCCAGGCCATGCCCTCCTACCTTCCTACCCCTGGGCAGATAGAAACCCTCTTCTCCACATTATCTCTTTTTGGGATGTTCCTTTCTGATAATGTATGTGGAGTAGGATTCATTTGGGGGATTTTATTGGCAGGCCCTGTGTATGACAACTTTCCATAGCTGTGACAAAATACCAGAGACAATCAGCTGAAAGTAGGAAAGGCCCATCCTGGCTCAGGATTTCAGAGGTTGCATCCTGACCACTCGGCTCTATTGACTCTGAGCCTGTTGTGAGACAGTGCTTCACAGCAAAGAGCACGTGGTAGAGCAGAGCTGCTCACCCAATGGCAGTCAGGAAGCAGAGAGAGAGAGCTGGCTTTTATAACAAGGTCTCCCAAACCCATTACCCTAAATCCATCATTTACCTAGTGTTAAGGTCAGAAATCCAGTCAGCTTCCACAGGCCCTACCTCTAAACACTGTTGCACTAGGGACCAAGCATTCAACACACAAGCTTTGGGGGGATATTGGATCCAAACCATGATACTGTCCTGCCTCTCTCCTCTGTCACGTCCTCTCTCCTGACTAGCTACTGTCACTACTAGCCTCCTCTGGGCCTGCCCTGGAGGCATCAGGATACCTGAGTCACACCTGGATGCAGACAGCTACATTTGTGCCCAAATGTTTTTGGGGAAATGGCAGTTAATTTTGTGTCTGTCCATGTACCCGTCATTGGCACAATTAAAAGGTCTCACACGAAGTCTGCCTCTGTGTCAGTCACTTGAACATCCTCAGTCCCTCCTGGTGGTATTTTTCCTACCAAGAGCATCTTTTCCACTTGGAGCCCATGTGTCTGGGGTGGGAGTGGAAGGGAGCCAGGCTTGTGAGGGTGGAAGTCATCAGGGTGAGCTGGGAACCCAGGTTCAGGACACATCTTCAGTGTGTGCATCAACAGCCCCAGAAGACATAGCAAAACAGAGAGAAGGCAGCTGCACAGCCTCTCCAGGCTGTGCTGTGGCTTCAGTGGGTTAAACCTGCTCTCCTCTCTGGGCCTTGCAAAGTCCACCTCCAAGGCCCACCTCCAGGCTCAACCCTGTGGTTGGCAGCCTCCACTCTTAGAGGCTGCAGGCCTGAAGTGTCCGTATCCTGGGTGGCCTCACTGGGCTGCATCTCTGCTCCAAGGGTCACCATTTCACCTTCAGCCTTTCCCACAGACTTCAGCTGGACCTCACCTTCTGCTGCTCTGGAAAGGGCTCAAAAGTCAAACTTACCAGATGACCTCTATCTCAAGATCATGACTTGGGACGTTGGTACTAAGTGCAAAGCCCCTGCCCAGCAGCACCTAGATGGCTGTCTGACAGAGTGATGGGGTGAGGTGGGGATATCCGATCCTTGGAGTCCATCTTTAGAATTCTGTCTGCTGCACCCATTGTCCTCGTTATCTTTTCCTTTGCTATAATAAAACTACCTGACAGGTGACTTGAAGGAAGAGGATTCATTTTGGTTTAAAAGGGTCATAGGGGCTGGAGAGACAGCTCAGTGGTTGCACTGGCTGCTCTTGCAGAAGACCTGGGTTTGATACCCATTACCTATATAGCGGCTAACAACCATCTGTAACTGCAGTTCCAGGGGAATCTGATACCCTCTTCTGACCTCTGCAGGCATTGTATGACACAGGTGCACTTATATACATTCACACAATACACTCATACATGTAAAATAAAAATAAGTAAAATGTTTTAAATTTTTTAAAATGTTATAGTCCATCATGGCATAGTATCAAGAGCTTGAGGCTGCCAGCCCACATCTCCGTGAACCAGGAAGCAGAGAGATGAGCTCTGTGCTCCTCAGGATTTCTCCTTTTATTCGGTCTGGGCCCATGGCCCATGGGATGGTGCTGCTAACATTTAGAGTTAAATCTCTCTAGAAACTTCCTCACATGCCTAGAGATATCTCCTACACGATTCCAAATCCAGTCAGATTGACAATGAAAACCAACCACCACCTTCATCAAACGCAGGTGTTTCAAACTGGCTGATCTCCAAGCTGCAAGAGGTACACGCCTCCCTTGCTGAGGCACCACCATGCAGCTGGAGGCAGAGGCAAAACCGGGGGGAGACAGGCGCTGGTTCTGGCTTCCACCCTGATGCAAGCTGGGTCAGTGGGAAGAAATATGCAAAATGTGGGCCCCTTTCTGGCTGCAGGACCTTGTGTGAGTCACCTAGCCTGGCCAGTGTGTTCCTCTCCCCAGCAAGTCTTGGGGCTGATCCACAAGAACACATCTTGCAAGGGCCTGGCACACAGCGGGCACTCTGCTTGGCAGGTGCATCACACCCACGGTGGACATGCTACTGAGCCATCTGCACCACCTTCTAAGTGCTTTTTTCCTTTGTAAACACCACTCCACCCTGCCCAGGGCCACCACATGCTTTCCTTTGCTCTTCCTACATCCCGGCTCCATACTTCCCCGTCCCCATGCCTGTTGTTGACCCAGGCGTTTTCTCTCTGCAGCTTCACCTGAAGATGACAGGCCAGGCCAGGTGGGTGGTGAAGTCCTGGACCTCAAGAATTGCCTTAGAAAGTAACTTTTGCAGGCCACTTTCCCTTGGAGCAGTTCCTTGGCTGGTCACCAGATGGCAGCACAGTCAGGCATCGGAGCGGGAGAACCCTGCTGCGGGCTATAGGTAGAGAGAGGGTAAGGCTTGGTGTGGGGAGAAGGGCTGGACTGAGCAGGTTCTGGGTGTCCCGAGAGCGGTACTTGCCTGCGTCAAGGCACAACAGTGATAATTCTCCATCCCCGAGTCTTAGAGAGGAAGGAAATGGATACTCTTATTTCTTTAAACCTCACGACAAATGGGAAGATTTGAGATTGGTACAATTCGGTGACACCGTGAAAGATCTTAAAGCTAAGTAGTCACAACCATACAGTACCCATCCCCCGGGTTCCAGGACTGCCAACGCTTCCCCACTCGTGTTGCACAGAGCCTCACTTTAAATTAAAAAAAAAAAAACACTGCAGTATTTTAAAAGCTATTTCCAAACACTGACAATGTCTTAGTTACTTCCCCTGGAAATCCCGGAGACCGGGCATCACTCCTTAACAAAAGGGCGGGCTGTTCACACGACCATCTAACTTTCTACTCAAGTCCCAGCACAACTCCGCGCTTTATTTTTATTTTAGCACATTGCCTGTATGTATGTAGGTGTACTCGTGTCGTGCAGTGCCCCCCGAGGTCAGAAGAGGGCGGCGGATCTCCTGGAACTGGAGTTATGGGTGGTTTTTAGCCACCATGTGGATCTGGAACCGAACCCGGACCCTCTGCAGGAGCAGCCAGCCCACGGCTCCAGGCCGCTCCTGTCCGACGCAGTCGTCTTTTCATCGCATCGCTTCTCCGCCCTGGTGAATGAACCAGGTCTGGGCCGGAGGCGCTCACTAGCAAGCGCCGAGCAAACGGCCTCACCGGCCCAGGAAAGGAAGAGCGCTGTCCGCTCCGGTAGGCCCCGCACGAGCGCTCGATCCCCGGACGCAGGAGGCCACCCAGCTACTGCCAGGCGGAGCTTAGGGAAACAGACCACTCGGAGAGCAGCCACGAGGCCGGAACTCAGCCCTGGCCTGGCCCCGCCCCGCGCCCAAGTTCTCCTCCCCATTGGCTCCCCGGAACATGCCCCGCCCATAGAGACTCCGCCCCCCGCTGCCTTCACCTTTCACCTCCTCACCTTCCCGGCTCCCGGAAGCCTCGGAGCCATCCCACCGAGGGGCGGGACGAGCTCCACCTCGGCTCTCGTTATTGGTGAATATTGTCTGTCCATCACAGCAACGGCGACCACGTATTGGCTGAGGAGAAGCAGAAGGTGGGGAAGCCGTCACAAAGGCATCTGCGCATGCTCCGTGTGTGCGCAGCGCCGGCGGCCGCAGGGCGATCATGGCGGCTCGGTGCGTGAGGCTGGCGCGGTGCAGCCTCTCGGTGTTGGCGCTGACCCTCAGGTAAGGGAGCCCGGCAGGGCCGAGGGGCGGTTCCTCCGCGTCCGTCCTGCTCGTCGCGAGGCCTTTCCCTGCGGCCTCCCGGAGCTTCGTCCTCTCCGGGGCTCCGTCCTCCCGGGGGCCTGGTGCTCGGGGCTTCCAAGGCCCGGGTCCTTCCCGGGATTCGTCCTCCCCAGATGCTGCTCCTCCCTGGGAGACTCGGGACTCTCGGTCCTCCCCGGGGCTCGGTCTTCACAGCGGGCTCGTCCTCCCCAGGAGCTGGTCCTCCCCGGGACTCTCGATCCTCCCCAGGCCTTGGTCCGCACGGCGGGCTCTCCTGTTCTCCCCGGGGCCTCCTCGCTGGCCTCCCGGACGGACTCCGCTCTGCTGCGCCGTGGAGCGGGACGCGCGGGGATCGGTGTGGTGGGAGGTTCCGGCTTCTGCGGGTCTGGTGACACCCGCGGGCTCACGGGTACTAGGGCAGAGCCACTCCTGGGACAGGAGACGACGACCCGAGGAAGCGGAGACTTCCAAGGTCACTGCGAGGCCGGGCCCTGGCCAGCTCGGGAAAGCCCCGTGTGCCCACCGTGCCGGCTGCCAGCGTCCTGGGCTTTCTCCACCGCTGTCCCCCAGGCAGTGTGGTCCAAAGAGCAGCAGCGCCTGACCCGCCGCTGGCGGAGGTCTAGACCAAAGCAGACTTCCCCGGAGCCCTGGCTTTTGGAAATCATCCCTTCAGTTAGCAAGACAGTATCTGTGTTCGATGAGAGCAAGTCACTGATCAAAGAGAAGCAACACCAGCTAAATCTTGGGTAGAAACTGGACCAGGAAAGAGCCTGTTGAGCCTGGGGGAGCCAGGCAGGTGGAGGATCACTAGAGGTGATGGAGAGGAACAGGCTGAAGTTACAGTGAAAGCTCACAGGAGCAGTGAGTCTCCTGGGATATTTGTGGAAATGCGTCTGATTCAAGACATTGGTTTGTGTTCCTGTATTTATTTGGAATTCACAGGAAAACAGCCACCAGGCCAGCTCACACTATCCCTGAAATTATGGACTTGAGAGAAGATGTTCAGGACCAAGGGCAGGACAGCTTCCACTGGTGCCCACACACACTTGAGCTTGCACACACACATAAACATGAATACAAACAGGATTTCTGGCTTATCTTTATAAAAACGGAACTGTGCTTTTTGTATCAATGTGCTGCAAAGGAGTGGATCCAAAAGATTGAACCACCTAGTGGACAGCTTAGGCATCTTATTTGGTGGAAGTTTCATTTCTTAGTCAAACACACATAAATGCATCCAAAAGATGGTCTCATGTGTTTTTAGTAACTGGAGCATTACAGACTGGAAGCAGCAGCCTACTCAGGTATTTCTTCACTGGTGGACACTGTTCTGGGTTTGTCACTGGGCTGGTGTTCATACCTTGTAGGTAGTCTGTCTGCTAATAACTTTCCTGTCAGTTGAGGCAGCTGTCTTGAATCTGAACAAAGCTAGGTGTGGTTTACTAGGAATGGACTGTGGCATAATTAGAACGAGCCCCAACCAGTCCTGGTAGACATCTGGGTTTAAACTTGACAAAGGGTTTTCCCTGTGGAGATCCATCACTTCCCGAATTCATTTCCTTCTGTTTCCCCTACACATAGCCCATGCCTGTCTCCAAGTCTCTGTCCAATGATATGCCTTCCTAAAGTGCATCTCTCCCATCCTACGTAACTCCTGTCCTGCAGAGCCTTCTGTAGAGCCAGGCATTGAGGGCACACCTGTAATGTGTATGTGTGAGACTCAGGAAGACTGCAAGTTCAAGGCCAGACCCTTTCTAAATCAAAAAGAAATTCAGGGCTAGGTGTGGTGGCACATACCTTTAATCCTTGGAGGCAGAGGCAGGTGGATCGCTGTGCGATTGAGGCCAGCCTGGTCTACATAACAAGTTCCAGGCCAGCTAAGGCTACCAGGAGACCTTGTCTCCAAAAAAAAAAAAAAAAAAAAACCCCCACACTCCTGCCATCACTGATACCCCAGGCCATCATGCTTTGCATGTTTGCTTTTCTACACCAGCAGAATGAACACTGGGCCTCATATCCACAGCCATAAAGAGGGTCTAGGTGCCTGGACGCAGGAAGACACCTTAGAATGCAGGAGGAGGTACTTAGGGGACACTGCTACTTTAGGCATGGATTGCAGAGTGTATACTTAAAGAGCCACCTGCCACTGATAGGGCTGCCGTCTACAAACTCTTGTCAGGTGATCTGTCACTGTGTGGGTATTGGAGTGACCTAATGGGGCAGCCAACAGCCACCTGTGCCACATGCTGTTGACTAAAGACTGTTAGGAAGGGGTCTGGAGAGATGGCTCAGCAAAGAGCACTTGCTGCTCTTCCAGAGGACGCACATTAGCATCCCAGCACCCATGTCAGACAGCTCACAACCGGCTATAACTCTGGCTATCAGGGATCCTGCATCCTCTTCTAGTCTCCAAACATACTCACATTCACAGAGCATACCCTCACACACATCTTTTTAAAAGCATTAGGAAATTGGGCCATGGTAGCATAGCCCTTTAATTCCAGCATTTGGGAGGCAGGGGCAGCAGATCTCTGAGATGGAGTCCAGCCTGGACATAGCGAGTTCCAGGTCAGCTGTGGCTACAGGGAGACCCTGTTTCAAACAACAGAACACACAAACATTAGGAGACCCATACTGTGGGGCCAGGTATCTTCTGTGTGCTTCACCTTTAAAAACGTTTTCTCCCCCACTTGGGAGGCAGAGGCATGTGGATCTCTGTGAGTTCAAGGCCAGCCTGATCTACATAGCGAGTCCAGCCAGCTGGGGCTACAGGGAGACCCTGTCTCAAAGACAAAAACAACAACAACAGAAAAAAAACCACTCATTTTTTTCCCCCATTCATTTATTTGGAGGAGGCGTGCCATGAGGTCAGAGGACAACTGCAGGAGTCACTTCTCTTCTGGGAATCAAACTCAGGTTGTGACTGGATTGGTGGCAAGCACCTTGCCCACTGAGCCAGCTGTCCACCTATACTCTGTGACATAGCTCTCTCACTAAACCTGAAGCTCATGGTTCGGCTGCTGGCTGGCCGGCCAGGGAGCTTCAGGACCTGCCTGTCTCTGCCACTTCAAGGGTGGGTTACAGGTGTGCCTCCATGCCCGGCTTTTTTACATGGTTTCTGGGATCTGAACTCAGGTCCTCGAGCTTGTGTGGTAGTCACTGTCCGCCAGCCATGCAGTACTGACAGCCACCTGCCCAGCCCATGCCACATAGTGCTTCACAATTTACTTTTGTTAAGTTTTTTTTTTTTTTTCTAACAAATAGCTTGAAATCACCCAAGTTCCTAAAAAAAAAAGAGGGGGAGGGTGTTTGCTTTTAGTGTGGCATTGTGTCACAGGATACACGTCCCATGGAACATGTCGTGGAGGTCAGAGGGCAACTTGTGGGCATTGGTTCTCTCGGTACTCTGTAGGTCCCAAGGATCAAGCTCAGGTTTACCTGCTGAGCTATCTTGCAGGCCCAACTTTCTAAACTGTTCTGTCTGGCTCTGGGACGCCAGAGGCTGTCTCTGTGTCTGATGTGCGGCTCTCCCTCAGGCCTTCGCCTCGCTTGTTGTGCACAGCTGCAAAACAAAAGAACAATGGCCAGAGCCTGGAAGAGGACTTGGGTCACTGTGAGCCAAAGGCAGATCCACCCTCCTCAGACAAGATCCTCCTGGAGGAGAAAGTCAAGCTGGAAGAGCAGCTGAGAGAGACCATGGTAAGGACCCAAGGGACATGCATTTCTAAGTGCTACTTACATGGGCCACATAGAAGGTTCCAAGTTTCCCAGGTGACAGATCAGAGCCAGAGGCTTTGGGTCACTTGCCTACTGCCTGAAGCACTCAGGTGGCCAGTTACTGCCAACACGGACTAGAACCCAGATCCTTGTGGCTCTGCTTCTGACCTGGGGAAGACTGTGAGCTATTTCATCCTGTCAAGGCCCAAAATGGTCTTTCACACAAATGAATGTTCAGTGTGCCTGACTGAGCCTTAGGAAGGGAATCGGCAGATTCCAGGTACAGGGGTTGGGTGTGTGGGAGACAGAGATACCACTTACACTTAACGTGGAAAAGCAGTGGACACACGCCAGGTTCCTTAAGTATATGGATGATTGACGTCATCAGATATTTACGTGGCTGCTGATGCTGTTCTAGGCTGTAAATCTTCACCACAGTCCCTTCTTACAGATGAGGAAACTGAAACAAAAATTTAGAGGAACTTCTAGAGTCACCAAGGTTAGGCCAGGACAATCTGTCCTAGAGCCCTACCCCATGACTGCCTGAAAACTGAGGTCAGAGGTTGTAGAGCCTGCTGGAGTCTACCAGTGGATGTTAGAGGTGCTCAGAGGTGGGACCTAGAGGGACAATGGAGAGGAAAGGCCCATCTCTAGCCCCAGTGATGATTCGGCTGAGCCTCCCTCAGCTTACCCCTCCCTCAGGCAGGGGACTGAGGTGGGGGACCCCAGTGATGTGCTTGGACATCTGGAAGTAGCAGCCCTTCAAGGATGACTTGTCATCAGCACACAAGGACTTTCTGGCCCTCTCCATCATGCCCTTGGGAAAGGGTCATCGTACATCGTCCCCCACTTGCTGGGGACACAGGCACAGGTGTAAATCTCTCTTAAACAGTCCTGTTTTTATCCAAAATCTTAAAAGTAATGACAGGTTTTATTTGTTTTGGAGTTTGTTATATAATCACTTCAAAGTCAATTCATTTAAATCTCTTTCCTTTTTTTTTCCTTTAGGAAAAATATAAACGAGCTTTGGCAGATACTGAGAACCTGCGGCAGAGGAGCCAGAAGCTGGTGGAGGAGGCCAAGTTGTATGGTAACACACACTGGTCTCTGGGCAGTGGACGGGGCCCGTCAGAGCGGGCTGGAGCTCCTGCAGTGCTTGGTGTCCTTAGGACAGGGATCCAGTGAGCGGGAGTCACTGGAAGTTGCCTGTTGCCCTGCTTGCTCTAGCCTGGCAAAGGAGCATGTGACACCCTTGCTTTTTAAGCCCCAAAGGCACCTTAAGCTGATCTCCCTCCTCCTGTGCTTCCTGTTCTTCCTCCTTTTAGCAAGCGATACCTTCCCCTCAGGCCCTCTGCAGCTGCCTTATTAAAAAACATTGTTCTGTGGCAAACAGTGTGACCAGGCATCACGAAAGGCCCAGTGTGAGGTATCCAGTTGATTGAGCCATATGCCAACCATCTTCTCTGCCTCCATGCAGGCATCCAGGGTTTCTGCAAAGACTTGCTGGAGGTGGCAGACATCCTGGAGAAGGCAACCCAGAGCGTCCCCAAGGAGGAGGTGAGCGATGACAACCCTCACCTCAAGAGCCTGTATGAGGGGCTGGTGATGACCGAAGTCCAGATTCAGAAGGTGTTCACAAAGCACGGCTTGCTCAGGCTGGACCCCATCGGGGCCAAGTTCGATCCTTACGAACACGAGGCCTTGTTCCACACCCCGGTGGAGGGGAAAGAGCCAGGCACAGTGGCACTGGTTAGCAAAGTGGGCTACAAGCTGCATGGGCGCACCCTGCGGCCTGCACTGGTTGGGGTGGTGAAGGAAGGTTAGCTGCCTCCCACCGAGCTCTGGACTTTTTAGGTCACTTGCTAGAACTCTTGAAAGGCAGGCTTAGATTTTCTCATCTGTGAATACATTCGACCTTTGCCCAGCCTTGTTGGAAATCTTAAGCTAAGCAGAACGTGAAGCCGCTTACACACTGTGTGGAGGAACTCTGTGTGGAGGAACTTGGGGAAACTGGTAACCTGTCTCATAGCTCCACCTACTCCAAAAGGGAACCAGTAGAGCCTCTGGAGTAGCATAACTGACACTGTCCAACCTGGTGATTGTAAAGTACTTTACATAAATAAAAGGTCTTTGGAAATTATCTTTGGCTACTGCATCTGTGCCATGTTGTACACAACTCGAACACCAAGGCACTGGTGTCCCTAGCACAGTGGGGTTCAGGATGGAAGCACTTACCAACAAAGTTTAGGGCCTCAGAGAGCCCGAGTGCCTTTATAAGTGCTGTTCAGCTCCAGGACTGCACATGAGTTTAGCTCACCTTTATGTTGCCAGCATTTGAGTTTGGCAAAATCAGCTTTTTCCTCCTTTTGTTCATCTTCATGTTTAAATCCATATTCAGCTAGTTACTAAGGACCTTAAGCTACACACCCATCAAGATGGACCACCTGGAGTGTGAAGGCTGCGTGGCTGCATACTCCAACATTTTGGCTTAATTCTCAGGTTATAGTTAAGTAGCCCTTTAATCCTCTTATCTATTTTTGGTATTGATTTTGTGTCCTGCAACCCATGAGCTGAGGGCAGCCTGGCTCAGGTCCGTTCTCCACCCCTGGAGTCGCACAGTCTGGGCTGTATACCCTGGCCTCCACACTGTTAGTGACACGTCACAGGAGGGCTTAGAAAGCAGAGACAAGCCAGAGTGCACAGCACTTAGGCAAAAGCAGACTTCAGGCTCTTGCCAGCCAAAATGCCCATTTCTCATTTACATAGAGTTCAGAGAAAGTCAAGCAAAACGGTGAGTCAAGGAACGCACGTGTGTGGGAGGTGCTGGCTGCAATACCCACTGCCTTTGTTCAGATGCCAGGGCAGTGCCAGTCTGTGCAGTCTGCCTCCATTAACACTGCGTGAGAACAGCAGTAGTCAAGCTCACCACTGTGAATGCTTGCGGTCACCTGATACCCACAGGCTCTGTAGCAGAGTAACTGACTTCAGATCACATTTAAAAATCTGTCAAGGGCTGGTGGGATGACTCAGTAGACAAGGGCACTGCTGATCCTAACCACCTGAGTTGATCTCCAGAACCCAGGGTGGGAGGGCAGAACCAGGAGTTACCTCTGACGTCCACACGTGCTATGGCATGAACCTGCACGCACATAATTTTAAACACAATGCTGAACTCGCACAGGCTTTTTGTCCTATTCTCTAAATGGTGAGGTCCGTGTAGACAGCAGTATGGGATGTGCATAATTATATATAAACACTGCTGTTTTATATAAGGGCCTTGAGCATCCCCTGGGAGGGTGGGGCCGTGGAACTAGTATGAAGGTGACTAGCCTAAATATGGCAAAGTCCTTCTGCATTTCAGTCAGCAGTCAGCACTAGTGGGAAGCACGTCCACATTTCCCCGGAAATTCAAGTCTTGCACGGCCACATGCTGGTCAAGTGACTGAACGCTGCAGGACTGCATTAAGTGAGCTGTAAGTGTGGACAACCAGGACCCACCACAGCAGGCCTTCCGAAGGGCTGGAAATCGGCCCTACTCCCTGAAGAATCATCTTTGGCCAAGAAGCTATTTTCAGGGAGAGGCCAGCCTGAAAGGGCTGCTTTGCTGACAGCAGCTGCCCACCTTGGGGCTTGACAGCATGGTGCACGTGTCTGCGACCTGGGTTGGAAGTGGCTGGCTGCTGACCTGTGTATGACAATGCCTGATCAGAGGCCAGAGGAACGAGAAGAATCAGATTGACACAGTTTGTTCTCAACTTATTTAATATGTAAAAGGATAATAAAAATGGTAGAGTTGTGGTTTTTAATACATTCTCGGAATGTTGACTTCCCAGAGAGTATTATTTCAAATAGTTGATGAATTACCTAACTTTCTACTCAAAGACAGTTTGTTTCAATTTGAAAAGACCTCATTCCATGGGATTGTGGTAGCTAATTTATCATGATAATACAAACATGTCAAGCTCTGAGCTAACGAAGGAAAGGGGAATGGGACACACACAGCTAGGCAGACGGGAGAGCAACCACTCCTAGTATTACTTTTCCCTTGTAACAATATTAATACTTGAACATAAATTAATAATACATTCATTATGGTGTTTTAAAAACAGTCAAGCCCAAATAAATTCATACCATCGAAAGATTTACACACTACACACCCGCTAAAGCACAGCTTTTTGTTGGCAGCCCATGGCCACACACGCCGACAGGATCCTCTGCTTCTCAAGCTAACACAAGCCTGGCTGTCATTTTATAGAAGACACGGACACTTCAAACCTCACCAGGCTGGGACTTTGGCGTTGAAGACACTGGAACAATTAAAGCCAGCGGTTCTCAACTTGAGCTCGCATCCCAGCCACCTGAAAGCTTGAAAAACACCCTGCTAGCCCCTGTTCCTGAACCCCCAAATTCTGCCTTGAGAGCTACAAGGGGTGTGACTCTGTATTCCTGACAAGTGCCCAGGAACCCCACTTTGAGAACCACTGACATTTTTAACAAGTAGGCACTGAGCACCACACCCCGTCACTGTCCAGTGACACGGTTCAGCATCTTCTGTTGGCCTGGCTCACAGGGCACTTCCCTGCTAGCCCACAATGCACTTGATAACTAAAGCCATATATAGTATATTTGAAATGTTATTTAATGCTGAAAAACCCTAGGGGACAGAGGATGTAAAATGGAAAGGCACGTCAAGTTGTCCTTGGAAATGAGTTGTTTTCTTCAAAATAACTTCACTTTAATTTCTGAGCCCAAATGCTCTGCGAGGTAAACAGGCTCTTGTACCACAGGGGCAGGGGCAGGGTGAGCTCAGAAGGGACGGGCTGGGGCTGTGGTCACTCCAGGACTCTAGAGCAGGGTCTGGGCATGTGAACCCTGAGCAGCCGGAAGACAGGCGCCTTCCTTCAGAAGGTACCATGTGTCCTTGAAGGAGGCCCCAGAAACAAGCTTTTCCATCAGGCTGGGGACGAGCCGTTTCTGAGTCTGTTTCAAGACCATGAATAACAGCAGCACAAAGGCTCCGGGGCACAGGCCGGATGCGCTGCACTCACCAGGGCCCCTGTCGGCTGGTCCTGTGACTCTGCCCGGCTGGTAGGGCCTAGCCACACCCTATTCAGTTCACCTAGCTGGGCTAGCTAGCATGTCCTACTTAGTGAAAAGGGTACTTGCAGTGGTGATGGAAATCCTGAGGAGCTAATACCCGAGCTCAGCATGGAGCACTCAGCCTTGAGCTGGAAAGGGCCCTCCAGGTCAGGTGCTCCACAGGGATTCAAAGCAGCAAAAGGCAGCTCCACTAAATGCTTTCCCAATCTCAGGGTCAGGAATGTGCCAAGGGAGGCTGCCCAGGGCTCTGCTCTTCACAAAGGCAGTGCGCTGGGTGGCACTAAGATGAGGCAAGCGCAGTTGAGGGCCTGGAACAGCCGCTGTCAGGAGTTCCAGAAGCTCGTGTGGTCACTGTTGCAAATGAGGGGCCCATCCTCCTAAGTGGCTCAGTGGGGAGCGGGCCTGGTGGTCATCTCTGGCCTCCAGAGTAGAGGGTTCTGTGCATAGCCCACCTCCCGGTAAAGTGCAGCGTGCTGGGGCTGCGCGGGGTGTCGGCTGGGGGCAGCAGTGGGCTCGGTGAAGGGGCGCGGACAGCAGCCCACCTGAGTAGAGCTCATGTCACCAGGGAAAAGCTGATGGCAGGAACAGCTCCTGGCTCCCACAGCACAACAGCTTCTGACCCGAAGGGAGAAGGACTCAGGAAATCGGGTTCGGGGCTGAGAGGGGAGACCCAGACTGACACCAACCTGGGGAATCTTGGGGGGGACACACAGACAAGCCTCATCTCAAAGGGTTACATTAGGGTGAAGTTGAACAGAAGGTACCTTGTCTCCCTGGGGAACCAACTTAAGATTGTTACTATTGCTTCCTTCAGAGTGAACAGAACTGAAGCCTTGATAAAAGGAACTCAATTTGTTTAAAAGACCAACCATGTGGGAGGGGCGCCAAGTCATGGGGCTCACAAGCTTCAGCCTCCCGCCTCAGGAAGCGTCCCTGGATATCCACCCACTTTCTGTGAGGAAATTTAAAATCCTTTTCTTCAGGACCTTGTCCAGATAACTAGGAAGGCGGCTTTTGGAGGGGATCCCTTGTCGTTTCTGGAGGTGGTCTTTGATTATAATAGTCTTCACAGTCACGTAGCGCGCAGGACTCAAGCTCAAGGAGCTACAGAGCACCTTCTCCCGGTCCGACAAGAGCTCAAACCCGGGAAGGTTCTCGATGGCTGCAAACTCTCCGTCTCTGCCATCCTCCTTCCCCCTCTTGGAGCTGGCCAGGCTTTTGTTCTCCTTCCTCCTCTCCCGCTTATGCCTGGCGGCCTCGTACTCCGCCGACTCTTCCATCTTCGTGATGCCGTTGCGCCGGTACCGCTGCAGCTCTCTGATCTTGGCTCGGAGCATTTTCTCTTTGTGCATGTTCTCAAACAAGTCGTCAAACTCCTTGCACGACATGAACTGGTAGAGCGGCCGCAGCTTCAGCCGCAGCTCCTTCTCCTCCTTGGTGATCTTGCGCTTGGGCGTCTTCTCCTTCTCCTTCCTGTCCTTCCCCAGGAAGGCGGGCACCAGGTTGTAGTCACGGGCAATGTTCTTTCGCCGCTGCCTCTCCTTCAGCTTCCGCACGTACATGTCCACGTGGGCCCGCTTGAGCTCGATCTCCACGTCATCGTCATCATAGTTCACAGACAGCCCGCTGATGAGCGTCTCGGCATCCTGGTCGTACTCAATCTCATAGTCGTCTCGCAGCGGCATGTAGCCCAGCTGCTGCTGCTCCGCCACCGAGATGTCCAGCGGGGGCAACGGGGTGGTGAGGCTGGGCGAGAGGGGGCCCCCGCTGGGGCAGGTGTGGTCCGTCACCCGGTTGGGGATGGTGTCAGGGATACAGGCCTTGCCCAGGTTCCCATGGATGTACATGCTCACGTAGTGCTCCATCACTTCCTGGGGAGTCCGGGAAGCACCGACATGTGCGGCCATGTCCTCCTACAACGCAAAGGCCAGAGGTTACTTCACAGCTAGCCCACCTCCCCGCGGACCTGGAATACTTCCTGTCAGTACAGGACTGCTGCCCCTGCTGAAGACGTTCAGACAGAACCTACAGGCGCTGTACTGCCAGCGCCAAGCTCCACAGAGGTACAGACTTGCCTGATGCTGGGGAGCTGGTGGCAGAGCTGAGAGGGCCCTATGAGTCTTTGTTCTCCTGACTTCTTAGAGACTGAGCCACCTGCCACCGGCACTGAGCCTACTGCAAGTCCTGCACACTCAAGGACAGTCTAGCTGTCACAGGACACAGGTGGACAGAACAATGCCCACACTCCTCATTCAGAATACAAACAGACCTGTCCACAGTACAGAGCAAGGCCATGACTCAGCACCAACTACAGAACAGGACCCCAATCTCCTGCTGCCCACCTCCTGGAACAAAAGGCGACTCCTATAGCACTGTCTCAGCCCTGTGCTTTGGGACAGCTGTTCCTCTCGCAGGCAGTGGCTGGGGGTGATGGGCACACAGCTTTGCAAGTGAGCGGTCTTCATTTATGGTATCTTCCACACCTAAGAAGCCAACTGCCGCACCACCACAGCTGAAAGCTTCACTACCTTGCAAGGCAGCCCAGAGCAAGGTTTATAGAAGGGAGGAAACTCAATAACTCCCTCAATCTTTTCCTTCTGCCAAGAGGCCTCTTCCTTAAAGTCAACCACTAAAGCCACTTCAGAAAGTTATTGCTCAAAACGCACACTCATTCACCGGCTGACACTCTCGGCACCCGCCCTGGCCCCAGAACCAGCAGTGCCTCCTTACATGTTTCAGTACAGGGAGACAAGTTGTTTGGGGCCCCAAAATGGCCACTATCTAGTCCAGTCTCTGCACCCCTGAAGGCCAGCTGGAGCTGAGGACCCAGCCAGCCATTTGGGCTGCCCCAATTACAAAGCCCGGTGTTGTGGAGGGGAAGAGGCCTGGCTCAGTGACGGAGCCCTCTATCCCAGCTTCCCCCAAGATGTGCACCTGCAGCACAGAGCTGGGCCCTTCCCACCAGCCTGGGAGGTTGTAGACTAGCCTTAACAGAGCCAAAGGAAGAAGGTAGGTAGTTTGAGATGGAGCTGCAGGTTCTCCCAAGAACCCTAGGGAGAAAAGTAAGGATTAGAGCAAAGGGCAGATTCTGGTCTCCTAAGGTGCATTACAGGACTCCTTTTAAAACGTCACCCGTATCTATTTGTTTCTCTCAGGAAGCATTATAAAACACCAAGGCATGACTGTGTAGCTCGGGATATCTGCCCCTCTGCATGGCCCAGACTGCTGGTGGCCCTCTCTGAGCCTCCCATCCTGTCCAGCAAAGAAAACAGCCATGGCCAGGCCAGGCAGAGCTGGGTTTCCCAGGGGCTCACAGGTAGCCAGTTGCTCCTCCAGGTCACCTGAAGAGCTCCAGGAGGAGCCTGCAAGAATTTGCAGAGATCTGGGGTGGGGGCAGAGGCCAGAGGTCAACATCGGGTATATTCCTCAATCTCTGCCCACATTATTTTGGGGTCTCTCGTTGAACCTGAAGGTCACTGATTCAGTTTACCTGGCTATCCATCGAGCCCAGGGCTCCTCCTGTTTCTACCTCCCCAGAGCTGAATTACAGACACACCAACAAGCTCAGATTCCATGTGGGGACTGAACTTAGGTCCTCATGCCTGCATATCATCCCCAGCCTTACTTGTATAGATTTTAAAGTTAGTGACTCGAGGTCAGCCTCCAAAGCATTCTCCAGCTTGACTATGAATTTGGGGAGCACTGACCTACGAGGGTTGGCCGGACTCCAGTGTGCCTTCCTAGCCCTGCAGGACCGACCGTGTCCTAGGCTCCAGCCTGTCCTCTCTGAACCTCACAGGGCCCAGCAGATATCGCAGGCCTGCTGCTGCTGGCCCTACTGGAGAAGCCTTTTCTTTGTAGGCTCCAGAGCTCTGCCAGCTCTAGCATCTCCACAACCTCTCTGTATCTCTGCTCACAAGGTGGTGGGAGTGTCAGATGCATTGAGAAGCACAGCACATTGCCCAGGACCAGACAGCTACAATTCCAGCCACTTGGAACCATCAGGTTCACTTGAGTCTTTGTCTTCCTCACTCCCTTAGGACCCAGGTCCTCAACTCCAGCAAGCCTTCCATGCCCCACTCTAGCTCAGCTCTTCTGTTCCCTCCACCCCTACTGCTTCCCAGTCTGTGATCCCTCCTCTTATGGGTTTTGTTGGAATGAATGAAGGTAAGAGGCAAACACACCTCTGCACATCATCACTGAGACCGCTCAGCTGTGCCCACCAGGGCAGTGTTCTCACCACCCACAGTTCAAGGTCAGGAAGACAAACCCTTGGGTGAGCTACCACAGGGCACAGAGCCAGCCAGCACTGAGCTGCACCAATTCAGCAGTCTGGCTGGAAGTACCACCTGCCACCACATGCTGGTCACCCAGCCTTTCATGGTGTGCAATGCAGCCTTTCATGGTGTGCAATGCAGCCTGTGCTGAGGGGTCCTGCCTCATACAACTCCTGGCACTGTGAGCACAGGCAAGGCTGGGCCAGAGGCCATGCTTACTCCTGGTCCTACCAGGGCTCACAAGTGCCACAGGATGGCAGGCCCTGATCTAGGGGGGAGCCTTTACACAGGACTTCTGGTGCTTCCGCACCCTGAGGGCAGGCGACTTTGACTCGGGCGGGCCTCACAGAGCTTCCTTCCGGTCCTTCCTCTTCAGCAGACTCAAAACCCCACTGGCACTTGACTCCATAGTCTTTCTTTGCCCAGCTGCTGGACTGTGAAGCACAAAACGGGCTCAGCCCTTACCAGGGCTGGGCATCCTTTCCTAAGTGGTTTGGGGCCAGGCTTCGGGGTAGGGACATGTGCCCTTTCTCTAAAGATAAAAATCTCCTTTTTTTTTTTCTTAAAATGAAGGAGCCTCTAAAGGGTGTCGTGTGTGCCAGGGAGGAGCAGCATGTAAGTGTGGCTCCCAGGAACAGCTGGGAGCAGATGGCACCTATTGGGCCAGCAAGAAACGGAAACAGCACTCTTTCCACCCACAAGTATTCCAAAGTCAGCCTGGGGAAGGGAGAGTACAACACACTGGTCATAGGCATCCTGCAAGGCGCTCCCAGGAAGTTCCACCTCACCGTCTTCTCATCCCCAGACGCCGGTCAGTGCTGAACAAAGCTGCTATCAATCTCTTGGGCCTGCCATTACCTCCCACAGCTAAGCCAACTGCTGCACCTGCTCTACCACCACAGTGATGCACTAACATCTGGGAGCCAGTTCTACATGGCCCCTTGTTCCAACTGTTTCCCCACCTGGCTCTTTCCTTAAAGCCATCTCTACAAAACCCCCACTGTGGGACACATGGGCTGCCTTCCCTTCCTATTAGACAGCCCTCGTGAGAAGGGAGGGTCCTGCTCCCTGGGAGCTCCTGGGATACTACAGATGCGAACTGAGTGGCCAGGCTGGCCCCTGGGCATCAGCAGGCCTCTGCTGTGCTGTCAGTGATCCAATGAAGCAGGGACTGCAAAGACCTGGGTCCAGACTCGAGTTCAGCTCAGCCTTCAGCTCAGTTGCTTCTCATTGCTAAGAGGAGAGCATCCACCTCAAACAGTGGGGTGAGGGGGAAGGAGGGCAGAATGCCAACACGCCAGCCTTGAGGGTCTAGGGAGTGAGGGTCAGCTCTGACACCCTAGTCACACCCATACCTGAGGCTTGAGGCCTGGCACTAGGGACTGGGAATCAGCTGACATCCCAGTAACAACACTGCCTGGGGCATGAGGCTTTTCCAATCCTGAGCATGCACAGCCTCATCTAACTTTCTCGCCCACCCCATAGAGAGTCCTCAACTCAGTCCTCTACTTTAGGCAAGCCAGCTTCTGCCTAGGCCCCAAATACAACAAACTCCCTGGCACAAAACACCTTCTTCCTCCACACTGCCTTCCCACCCCCACAGCCTTGTCTCTCTCACCGCTGGACAGAGTCCTGCTCACCCACATAGCACCTGCGAGGTCCCAGCTGTCTTGGCACAGGCTGGCCAAGCAGACTCTGCTGAGCACGCACCAGTGGACAGAGGAGTGCACGAAAAATACAGCAACTCACACTGGGCATCACTGTCTGTGAATGTCAACTGTCATCTAAAGAGGCAAAATGTGCTGCCCAGACCACCCCGCCAGCCTCTTCCAGAGCTCAAGCCTGAGAATCCAGGCATGAAGCCTTATTTGATTGGCTCATCTAACAATATTCTAAACCACATATGCTGACCTGAGCCCCATTTCCCCTGCTGGATGCCCCGTGGAGAGGCCGGCCCCCTCACATTGCCTCCTTGGTGACACATCGTGTCTTTGGAGCCAAGAGACAAATCTGCCAAAGGCTAGATGGTCCCGAAGCACCACGTCTGTGTTCATGTGTTCCAGAGGACCTGCATCACTTACCCAGCACAGCCCACTAGAGCCGCTGCCTGGAGGCTCTCAGTGCCCTTCCACGCCTTCCCTGTGTCACAAGTCTGGTCACCTGCTTCTTAATGTCAAGCACAAAAGCACACCTGCAGACCCTGGCTCTGCTGGTCATCCTGTACCTTGCCACTATTTAAATGGCTGACATTCTTCAGCTGTGTGTCACTCATTCCCAGTATGGCCTCCTCAATAGCCCCACCATGAATGCCACAAAGGGCAGCACAATCCTGCGGCCACTCACCGGCTGCCATATGAAACCAGCACTGATAGATGTCATCTTAACATTATCACCCTCAATGTCCACAGCACCTCTTCCCATAGCCAGCCTCCCAGGCACGGCACCATCCCCTCTGTGCTCTCTCAGATGCCAGTCACCATCAGGGCCTGGCTAAAACCTTCTGGTTTACCACACTTCCAGATGCACCAGTAAGTGCCAGGCTCCGATCCACACTCCTTAATGCTCTTACAGCTGTGGTGAAGGGCCTGACTATAATCACACCGGCAGCCTGCATTCAACCCCGGCTGTCACCAGCTAAGCCATGGAATTCTTGACAAGCTGCTGTCTTTCAACTGCAAACTAAGCACATGAACCCATCCTACAGGGCCGCTTGTGCAGGTCACATGAGTTATGTATATAAATACACACATATACAACACAGACTTGGCACAAGCTACACAGGTCCAAACTGGAACATACCACCTCTGTGCCCCAGCAGGCTACAAGCTCAGAAAAAAGAAAAGCTGCACAACCAAGCTAAGGTTCCTCTAGCAAAGAAAAACAAGGCCAGAGTAGCAGAGCAACTGGCCTCAGAGCCCCTGGCCTCAGAGTGTCAGGACCAGTGGCATAGGTGGCACTCGTGGTCTGGTCCGCAGGGCCACATCTCAGACTGGACCAAGTGTGCTGCTGCTTCAGCAGGTAGCAAGCCCCAGGGCCCTTCCCCCTGGGCTGTAACTCTTCCAAAGCTAAGCTTGGACCTCATCAGAACCTGCATTTTTAGCAGAAGCTCCTGAAGACATGAAAGCTTGAAGGGGGGCTTCAGAAGAGGCTTCCCCACTTCCAGACCGTTTCTGAACTGACATAACGCCTCAGCTCCTGGGTATTCCTCACAGTGCTTCAGGGGATGTGCACAGACAACTGCTGAGGTATAGACTGCAGCCCAAGAGTTCAAGAGATAAGAGGAGCCAGGCTCAGCGCTGGGACCTGAGACACTTGGCTCCTGCGGCTACCACTCTGGAGATGAGTGCTGGAGTGGTGTGAGGAAGGACCGGCTCTTGAAGCAGTGATGTGAGGACAAAGATCAGTCAGTAGTCACAAGTGGCATAAAAGCACCTTGGTTTTAGGGTCGTTTTTTTTGTAGCCAAGATAAAAGTGAGGCAGTGTGAGAATGGGTCACCTCGGAGCTTTGGGAGGACCATGGCAGTTTAGGGAAGAGCTCCAGGAACAGGGGCCAGTGAGTTCAGCACATTCAGCTCTCTGAGGGCTCTTCTCCTTCAGTGTCCTTCATCCTTGTCGGATCTTTCCAAAGCCGACGCTCAGTACTCACCAAGGAACAGCACTTAAACACAAAGCATGGCAGAGGTTTTTGGAGGGTGGAAGTTACAGTGCTGTCGGTCTTTCCTAAGGAGCCAGGGGAGTCCAGGGCTACAGACGTTTGCTCACTGTGTTGGCCTGGGATGAAGCAGACTACAATAGAGGAGTGAGCATGTCGGAGAGTCTGGAGAGCATGCCTGCCGCCCTCCTTCTTTAAAGACAGCCACAGATCCTCGGCAGGAACGGAGACAACGCAGGTGGAGTGGAACAAGAGCTCCCGGAGACCCCTAGAGAACCCGGAGAGCCAGGCCGGCTGTCTGGCAGCACACATGCAGGCTCCTGCCTTTTCTGTCACAGCTGCCTCTAAGAACCTGACAGCTGGAGAGTAGCCCTCAAGACCCATGCCTCCTCATGGATGTTCCTTCCTTCCTGACCACTGGTCACACCACATCCTGGGTGCTGTGGGGGCCAAAGATAATCCAGGCAGTGCCACCCATGCAGAACCCAGGCACCAGTACCCCATCACCCCACAGGGCACAAAGAGCCCTGAGTACAGGATAGGTGCATGTGGGCGGGCACCCCCAGCACGGTGCCCAGGCGAAGCCAATCCTCCCTTGAGGCTCAGCAGGAACCAAGGGTCTAGCCTGCTGTCACCTGAATCCAGGGAAGGCCTGGCAAGGCACAGGGCCTGCACACCCGCGCTCGGTGCCCATCTCCCGAGGACCGGGTGAAGGGCAGGGACTGCTCCGAGTCGGGACCGGGGCTAGCCGCGGGCTGGGTGGCCGTCCCCGGGCTCCGGTCCCGACTGCCCCAGAAGGCGAGCACCCGCACCTGCGGGCCCCCGCGGCGTGCACCCCGCCTGCCGGCCATGCCCTCCCGCCGGGGTCCCGCTTACCCAGTTGCCAAAGCCGAACTGCTCGATGGCGTCCAGCAACAGCTGCTCCTCGCGGCTAGTCCAGCCGCCCTCCGCCTCGGGCCCCCAGAGCGTGAAGCGCCCACCGTCCACCAGCTGGTAGCCGTGGTAGCGCCGGTGGTGGCCTATCTCGGCACCCGCCGAGAAGCACTCGGGACACAGCTCGATGTCCTGGCACTCGGTGCAGCGGAAGCGCAGCGGGCTCACCTCCGCCAGGCAGTACACGCAGTACTTCTTCCCTAGCTCCGCCATCTTCCCCCGCTCGCCCGCCGCCCGGCCCGCCGCCGCCGCCGTCGCCGCGCCCCCGGCCGTCAGCGCC